TAAATGAGAACTGAGAACAAACGACTTTTCTGCTCACTTCACGAATAAGCAGTCTCAAGGTCACTTTAAAGACAAAATATAGTCTTTTGGTAATTTAATTATTATAATATATTCATCCTAATATGTTAATTTAAAATCACGTCTTTCTGCCCTCCCCATGTGAAGAGTTATAGGTTCTATTCTCTCTCCCCATTCTTGAGATGCTCTTTGAAACCTTCTCAGGGTAGGAATCCCTGGTGGCAACACTGTAGGGCAAGCCTTGGACTGCTAACCTCATGATTGGCAGTTCAATCCCACCAGCTCATTGGGAGAGAGATGAGGTGCTCTGCTCCCCTAAAGATTTACAGTCTGGAAACCCTATATAAGTCATTAGGTGCTGGAATCAACTCTATAGTCGTGGACATTATGGGAGCAGGCGCAGGGAGTACAGGGAAAGAGGCCTGTCATTCCTTTCTTATAGGATGGCTTCCCACTCTTTAGGTCTACAGCTTTTTTATGAAGTCTTCAAAGGACCCTAACAGTAAGGACAGTAAGGCTGATGCATTTTGATTACAGTTGGTAGTTACCAACTCCTTCTTCAGCTCCTGGATTGTTACTTCCAGCCCTTTGCTGCTAGGTAGCTCTAGTGACAGGATCTACAATGATCTCACCTCTCTCCCCTGAGTGACCTCCATTTGGCTCCCAGAAAACATTCAAACAGCTCTTGCCCTGACAAACTCTGGAAATATGGGCCAATCCCAACACATTCAATCCTGTTCTCCTGCCAAGGGCCACATTAGCTTTCTTAGAACAGAGACGAGCTCCAGTCTGCTGCCTGTCTACTGCAGGACAGGAACATCAGGATCTCTGAGTGCTCCATAAAAGATCCGTTTTCTAGTCTTGAGGTGAATGACGTAGTATCCCCCTGCACACACCCTTTGAGGAGGGTATAGTCTTAGTTTAGCAACAGCTCTCTGTAATGAAATGTTTTCACAAATTTCCATTCCTTTTCCCCTCCACAATCATACTCCTTTTCATTTCTTGGAACCTGTTATGGATGATTTTCTTTGTAAAATCTGTATATGGTGGCCTGGCTTTGAAATTTCCCATCAATTATGTGGCATGTACTATGCCGTCCTGGAAACTTTATTTGAATACCATATTACTTAAAGCTTAAATTCTTCTTTCTAATTAGGTTAAAACATGTTAGATTGGCTCTAGTGCAAGCTCCAGGTGGATTCACATAGCCAAATCCCCTTTGGAGCAGCCCTGGTGGCACAGTGGTCATGAGGTGGGCTGCTAACTTCAAGGTCGACCGTTGGAAACCACCAGCTGCTCCAAAGGAGAAAGACAAGGTTTTCTAATCCCATAAAGAATGGAAACCCATAAAGGGTAGTTCTATACTTCCCTAAAAGGTCACTGTGTTAGTCTGGGGACTTTAGAGAAACAAATCCACAGAAACTCATGTATAAGAGAGAGTTTTATAAAAAGGTTAAGTGCGCATCAAGGAAATTTCCCAACCCAGTGCTGCCCAAGCTCACAAGTCCAACATTAACCCATATGTCCAACACCAATCCACAAAGTCCTCCTCCATCTCACAAAACACACACAATGATGTCAACTGCCCAAGCCCACAAGTCCAACATTAACCCATATGTCCAACACCAATCCACAAAGTCCTCCTCCATCTCACAAAACACACACAATGATGTCAACTGCAGGAGGAATGCCAGATCAGTGAATGTGTAAGCATATCAGCACTGTCAGGGGTCTCAACACGGCTGCTCCAGCACCCAGGGCTGCATCGGAGTAGGTCCATATGGCTTCTCCTCAGAGATGTCTTGCAGGAAGTGAGCCTTGCCAGCTAAGGCAGGGAATTGGCTAAGACAGATGTACCCTGGTCCGACCATCAGAAAGCAAGAGACCCGAGAACTCGAAAGGTGAAGCTCACTGAGCCATTTATCCCTCTGCCCTTCAATTAACCCCACATGTGTTTATCGGCCAGGTTGGCACAATAAACTA